TCTCGCCCAGGGCCTGACTCAGATGCATTTGATAAAGGAGACCAGGGCCTGGGCGCTTTCAACCAACTGGCGCTGTGCAACTGCCTGAATTTCCCCAGTTGCGTGGTGACCCAAAAATGGCCTGTAGGCCTCGGTCGAGCCTGCCTTCACTTAGGGCGGCCGACTATGCTGAAGATAGGGCCCAGTAGGGCGTACCGAGGCCTTGTGCCTCGCAATACTACTACTACTACTACTACTACTACTACTACTAATAATAAAGAATTCCGCTCCCAAACGGAATCGAACCGGTGACCTCCGCTATAGCAACCGGATGCCTTTAAAGCACTGCAATTGGGACCCGGTGTTTTTCAAAACTGAAGCCATACCGGTAGTGACATTCAGCCCACCCCAGCACTGGTCCACCAAGGACTTACATCGTCAGCCTTGCCCAGGGGCGATGCTAATCTATCTTCTCTGGTATTGTTCCTTTTTTTTTTTGTTCATTTTAACGGACCTCCCGAAGAAGGCTTTTTATTCTTCTTAATAAAAAAAATGGATCGTAAATTTCGGAATTAATACGGTAATAATTGTACCTGGAGTCGTCGACCATTCTCTCTCTCTCTCTCTATTTTTTTTTTTTTTTGGTTTGGAGTGCAGCAGAATTTTTTTCGAGGCCTCCAGGGGATTGCTGGCTGCTACGGGCAGGGGTCTGTGATAATGCTCTGTGATAATGCCAACTGGATGCAGACTAGATGCTGCTTTGTGCACAAGCTGCGCTCCTTTTTTTATTTTTGGTTTGGGTGTTTTTCACACTTCTATTCAGTATGTATGTATAATAGTTGAAGAGAGTGAACGTGAGACTCGTAGAAGTGAGACAGATGACACAAAGTTAAATGAAAGAAAAGTAGAAAGATAGAGATAGATGATATGCAAGAAAAGAACAAGTACCGGTGGGTTCGGCAACGTCGACCCCGACCGGTCTCGACCGCCCCCGCCACGCGGTTGTCTTCAAGGGGGTCACCATCTAGATGCTGATTAGATGTTGACAAAATGCTGCTGATTTTATTATTATTTTTATTTTATTTTTTAATAAATTTGGACCATTTCTCGGTTTATGTGTGTCATCCTTGCAGAGGGGCCATGCTCTTCATTCTCTGTATCGTTCCAATTTTAACGGATGTCCCGAAGGACAATGCTGCTGATTTTTTGTTTCTTTTTTTTTGTTTTTGTTTGAATACCGGCTAGATAGTGAAATTTGATGACGGCTAGATGCCGATTACGGCCTTCCACAGAATAAAAAATGCATGATCCTTTAAAAAACAGAAAAAAGAAAAGACAAGAAAAAGAAGAATGCATGATCCTTTATAGCTGAATCTGGGCCAACTTTCAGTCTGAATACAGCTATCAAGACGGTACATTCTTTTCGGGAGAAGGTAGTCGATGCTGATTAGATGTGGTCACCCGATGCCGACTGGATGCTGACGACCAATGGCAGGTCATTATCGCTGTATGTGGACTGAAAGTTGCCCCAAATGCCGCTATAACGACTGTTGTCCTCACATCGAAGGGAACCCCCGGTCATTATCGCTGCAGCTGGACTCGAAGTTGCCCGAAATACAGCTATAATGACGGGGCGTTCTTTTAGCATGAAGACGGTTGCTAACTCGATGCTGACTTGATGCTGACTATGATAAGTGCTTACTGAATGTGGTCTGGATACTGACCAGATGCTTACTAGGACTACACCCCTGACTGAAGGGGGTATAACTTTGTGGATTAGCAGGATTGATATAGTGATAGTGACCAACGGGCCTAGCTCAGTTGGTACAGCCCCCCGGAACTGTTGAAATATGAATCAGACCCAAGTTCGAATCCAGATACTTTCAGATGTGTAGAATAAAATGCAAGGAATATGAGTGAGAGCGGTAGACAGAAATCCAAATTGCGAAATCACGCTGTAGTCCAGATAGTCATGTACCAAGCAGAGAGCACAATGCACCAAGACAACATCCAAATAATGATTGATAATATAAATTTATAAAAGTGATCCCACATTTCAATCTCGACGTTCTCTTGCCTCACCAGCATAGTAACCAATGTCGCTCTTCCAGATCGCCGCGCAGCGCCACGCCTACACTACTCAGCGTATCTAGCCTATCTACATTCATGCGACAGGTACACTTCGAAGTTGAAGACCAATGTACGTGCCTTCGTCGCCAATGCAGACTGCCAGCATACACGAGGTACGTCTCTCTCTCCTCCCCTCATCACTCCCTGACTTCCCACAGAGTGCGCCTCCTACCCGAAGACCACCATCGCCATCACCCTGAATGCGCCAAGTAGCCCGGCTAAGGCCGCCGTGCGGCCGCTGCCACGGCAGCTCCCATTCTCAACTCCAGCGCCCGTGCGCGCCGTGGCCAGAAGTGCTAGCGCAGCTGCTCGTGCATCAACGCAGCAGCGTGGCCGCCGCATCGCCTGCACAGGCCAGAATGATCCTGGCTGGAGTGCTCACTTTCCTTTATGGAAAGTGAGCCCTGCTTGCTGTGCCTTGGGCCTGGCTGGGCGAGTTTCCAGTAGCTTCCAGTCGGGCCCCAGTATCTGCACCCAGGCCCAGTTTCAGATACAGGCGTGGGCGCCGTGCAGTTAGGCACGTCCAGGTAGCCCACGAGGCTTGAAGTGTTCGGCGCACTCCCATTGGCTCTTGGGATGTGTGTGATGAAGGAGCTGCTTTCTCATTGGTCCGAGGCCCCGCTACGTCACTTGTTGGCCTCTGGATGCCTGTGCCCAGGGCCTCAACCGGATGAGCCCTGTGCGCAACCATACGATGCAGCTGCTGCTTCTGGAAGGAGCCAGGGAAGGCTCACGTTGCTCTGTAACCAACTGGTGTGCTGCAACTGTCTGATTCCCCACACACGAAGAATGGCAGAAGTAGGCCTCGTGCAAATATGCAGGCCCGCCTTCAATTAGGCCGGGCACGAGGCTTGCTGGGCCCTGAGCCCAGAACGTCTGTGCGCCCGAAGAGGGCCTTGTGAGGGCTCAATCCTCGCAAAAATCATTCTGAATTGCCTGGGCCCGATCAGTTCAATGATGATATCTCAAGGCTGCTGCCCTTTTAAAAAAAAGAAGCAGGGAAAATAAAAATAAAAATGACAGTAGCGTTTGAGGCGCGAGTGGTTTAGAAGGAAAAAAAAGAAAAAAAAAAGAAAAAACTTCAAAAAAGAAAGATTAGAAGACTATGTGGCCTTGTAAATGTGGAGTTGGGTTCTTGGTTTGCCTGGTAGCAGGCCTGAGGCATTTGTTTCCTTTTCAGGGTCTGCGGGTATCAGGACAGGGGTCTGGTTTTGTCCATGTCTTTCGCCGGATTCCACCCTGACATCTCTCTTCCTTCTTTTTCCGGGTTGCTTGTTGATTCCTGGCCTCTCCATTTGGTGTGCGTAATCAAATGAGCTGAGTTTCTTGTTAAAAAAAAAAAAAAAAAAAAAAAAAAAAAAAAAAAAAAAAAAAAAAAAAAAGAAAAAAAGAAAAAAAAAGGAGAAAAGAAAAAAAGAAAGAAAGAAAAAAAAAAAAAAAGTGTTGTTGTAGAAGAGCGATTGGATAGACGCATGCCTTTTTTTTGTTTTTTCTGTGTCTCGTTATATTTGAGGGTACAAAAAAAAAGAGAGACCAAAAGGTCTTTTCTCATGCCTCAAACAACACAAGTAAAAAAAAATAAAAAAATTGTGGATCCTGTTAACCAGGCTGGTGCTTGAACTTGGGGTTTGGAAGTACCCCCCTGTTAACCAGCTGTCGGAAAGCAGGGACTAGTTGACAGGGGGACCTCTGGCCTGAGGCATTTGTTGGGCGCTGGAATATGGGGTTTGGAACCCCCCCTGTTAAAAAACTGTGGGTACATGTATGAAGTGCAAATTTGACTTCCATAGAATAAACTGTGCATGCAATTTTTGGAAATCGTTGGGATGCCGACCGGGCCACCTGGGCCTCCACTGGCTGCCTAGGCGGCGGGGACACGCAAGTGGAAAAAGAGAATCTCTGCGCGGTGAAATGAGTGAGAGTAAATTACTTTAACCATGTGTACTTCCTAAAGTCGTGCCCGTTAACAAGCCACAATTTTAGGAAATGTACGGGTCACTACAGAAGCGACCAAATTCATCTGACTAGAAACTTTTCTACTCTATGTACTTCCACAGCCCATAGCTGGGCCAAGTACTGGTGGTTTCAGTTAGGTTGGCGGGCATTGAAACTTCGAGTACCATTTCAGATTATCCCACCTTGGTGCTGACCCCTGCGCACATTGGACAATGTTATTTATACTAGCTGATCAAGTTCAGTCTGCCTTGGAAAAGGTAGCCAGTGGGGGAATTGGAGGAAAATTGAATGTAATAAAAAAAAAAAACAGTAAGATTAACAAGCAGAAACAATCGTAATAAGGAAATGTCCGTGCCCTCCCTCCCTCCCTCCCTTCGCCCCTCCCTCTCTCCACTCGATTCACTCACTTCACTCACTTCACTCACTTCACTCACATACTTTCCTCCCTCCCTCGCTCCCTCACTACGCACTCATTCACTTGTTTTCTCTGTCTGTCTCCCCCATTCCCCTCCCCTTTCTCAACAAGGGTTTTCGATCCTCAAGTGTAGCCATGAATTCAGGTAGAATCCCAGCATACTTCTACTCCACTCGGCTTCTATATTTATAGTTGGGATGACCGATTGGCTTGTTTGTCTTCTCTTTGCGGATGTCCGTGATCGTTGCGTTGGAACCACCAGCCTAAACGAAGCCGTAAATATGGGGAGAACTCGAACTTCTCCACACCTTCTCCTTTTCTCCTCTTCTCTGGCAATACCCAAGTATTACGAACACCCTGATCTCTCTCTCTCTCTCTCTTTCTCTCTCTCTCTCTCTCTCTCTCTCTCTCTCTCTCTCTCTGTCTCTATCTCTCTCTCTCTCTCTCTCCCCGGTTTTGCTTTCGTGTTCCTTCCTGAGTAGCTAATGTGGTAGGGTTTGCATTTGTTGCCTTGTGCCAGGTACGTCTGTGGCTACAAAAATCGATTTTGCAATCTTATCCGTTACCTGCGGGAAATGGGTGATGAGGTATGGTCGTCTGCACAAACCTCTCCTGAGGGTTCCATGGGCTTATGTATCCATATTTTATCTCCTTTGATCCTCTCTGCAGCTCTTCTTTCCCTGCGCGCCCCGCCCCCGCCCCGCCCCCCCCCCC